GAAGAAAAGGCAACATTCGATACCTTCTTGTTTACATTTGATAGGCTGACGTTTCTTACTTCTTCGTACTTTTTAAGATTATCTAAAACAAAACATCGTGAGGAAACCTGGGCTTATAATTTCTAATAGTGGGTGATGGTTATGTAACAACTTCGGTTGTTTATTGGCATTAGTTTGTAATCGCCAACCTGCATTGAGCAAGCGTGGTGATTAATGCTCAAACCTTCTCCGTGTGAGAAGAGGCTTTGCTCAGCAGTGAGCATTTATAGGCTGTTGATGAATAAAAAATAAATGAGGCTGACGTTTGACCACCATCTCGCCTGGTGGTAGGTAATGATGTGGCCGACGATGCACGCCTACCTACGAGTAACCTGTTCACTCGGGACTTGACGACACCCAAATTGATACCGCTCTTACGCTTCCCATAGTTATCCTAACATTATGACGAAGACTGGGCATCAGCGCTGATAAACCTGTCCTATTTACACTGCGAGCTCCAATTCAACTGAGAAGTGTGAAGGATATAGAAAACCCAAACCTTCAAGAAAAGAGCGTATTCCTTTTTCAAAGGCCGGCAACGCACCTGTGACTCCTCTGGTCTTGCGGGTGTCCGTGGGCGGCGCTGATCGCTTACCATCAGGTGATCCCTCTGCTCGTTTGCCTCCTATACTATAAAAAAAACTTGCTTATGAAGAGGAGATCCATAGTCTATCTATCAATGGACTGCCACGGGTTGCTGTTTATTATTAATACTTTCTTTTTATTGGGACAAGCCCGCTACAACCTTCCAAAACCGCTGCAACTCCTGTAAGCCAGGATCTACAGTAGATACAAGCATGAAAACACTGGAACACTGAAGTCCTATGTTTGAGATCAGCGACTCCAAATAAGGCCGGAGAAATTTTGAAATCCATAACATAACATCAAGCCTTTTATCCCCGAAGGCGTACACAGGGGTGCACATTATGCCACTGTACAATGTAACACCCACTGTTCACTATTTATGTTATGAGTCCCACGTAAAAGGTGGTGAGCCTATTGCCATTAACCGGGCAAGATTCCTCCGTGCTACTACTGAGATTTTTTTTAAAACCTAGTAATTATTTGCCCAACCTGGGAATCGAACCCGAGACCCCTTGTCCGGCAGTCGCATTTGCGACCTCTAGGTCAACGAGGCAGTCGAGATTTTGAAACCAAACCAAACATTTTAGTCATATTTTCGATTTCTTTACTTAAATCCGAAATAGTAAAAGCGAAACTCCGAAACGAAATTTAACATTTAATTGCACAATAAATCTAAATTAATTGTAACGCAGTAAACAATAAAGTTTGAGATTATTACTCAAATAAAAGAATAAACCCACTAACTGACTGAATAATAAAATTCTTTGCCAACTTTATATTACTCTGCACTATTCATAAAAAATACATTAATACTATGTATTTTATTGCTTGCGACGATCTCTAAATGTAGTGTATATTATACTTATTATACTTATTTGCTAGACTTTGTGACTCTGGCTGCCTTAAATTGTAAAGTCTTCAAAAAGCCTAAAAGTCTTTTTTTTAAGGGGGAAAATCATCGAATGACTGCTCCCGCCTGGGTGAGGCGGGAGGGAGTGTCAGACTCTTACTGACTAAAAACCACCCCGTTCCATCTCCTGCACGTCGAGCCAGAGCCCCGGTTACCCGTTAGGTTCTCCGCGACTAAGCCTAAAAGTCTTGGAGCTTTTCCAGTTCCAGGCACACACACGACATGTAAAAAGTTATTAATAAAACTAAAGATTGCTTCTGTATCTATGCATTTGAATTTAGTTGACCATCAATTTCCGTGGCTACTTACTTAGCTGTAATGCAAAAGAAACCAACTAAGTGTACTTGACTATCTTTTGCTATGGAGTTTTAAGAGCTTCTTACACACGAGCCGCATGCCACGGCAGCAGTCGACCTATAGCGACACTTGCAGTTGTAACGTTCTTCGAAGTTCAAGCTACATGTTACTACATGGTATTTGCCAGGGTATGAAAATTAAAAATGTAATTGGTCCATCAGTTAGATAATGAAAAAATATTACACACGTTTTTTTTTTATTTTGACGTATAAAGTTACAATACTCTGACAAAATGAAGTTAAGTTCAGGAATGAGAGGTAGTTACGTCATAACGTGCTACAAAAAGTGACACGTTGTGACGTCACACGATATTTCAAATTAATATATCGTCGAAAGTATTTAATTTTGTGAGAAATGAAAAAAAACTTGTCTAATGTTCTAGAATAATAGCTAGCTATCCTGTTAATATAAGTAGGAAGTTAAAATTTACAATATTTTTATACTGTAACACCTTTTTTATTATTCAGTTTGACGTGTGAAGTTGGCCTAGTGTACAAATCGACTGTTACAAGGTGTTGATGATGACGATAGCAATCATTTAGTTTCAAAAACTTTTTTTCTTTTTTACAAAAAAAAACGTTGCGCCACACTAGGATTTCCTCCTGTATCGTAGGTGCGTTTACAAACATGCAAGTTCACATACACATGACACCCACACACGGAACAACAATTGTGGATCACACAAAGAATTGTTCCGTGCGGGAATCGAACCCGCGACACGTTGCGTGGCAGCCAGTTGCCTAGCCACCGCGCCAACGGTGCAGTCGAAAACGGGCAAGTAGGGTGAGGGTAACTTTTATATTTAAAATGATAATAAATTAAACCTTTATTTATAGGTAGGAAAATATATAAACTTCTAAAGTCCTATGGTATTATTATTTTTGCAACATACACGATAATTTGTAACCTTTATAAATGGTCGATTAATTAACAGATAATTAATTTTATGATTAGAATGTGAAAGTCGGTGTCTAGGGTGACAATGTTGCTTAACGTTGATCGTGAGGTCGTAACAACGACTTGATCAAAAAGTAGTAAGTATGATACGTAACAAAGAAAATTAAAGTATAATTTCATAACATCATAACATCACGCCTTTTATTCCCTAAGGGGTAGGCAGAGGTGCACATTATGCCACTGTACAATGTAACACCCACTTTTCACTGAGTCCCATGTAATAGGGGGTGAGCCTATTGCCATATACCGGGCACAATTCCAGACTCCGTGCTACTACTGACATTTTTTTGAAAACCCAGTAATACTTTGTCCGACCCGGGAATCGAACCCGAGACCCCTTGCCCAGTAGTTGCACTTGCCACCACTCGGCCAACGAGGCAGTATAATTTCATAGAAGTTAAAATCAAATTTCTCTTGGAACAGCAGTTTTTTTTTCCAATATCTAGATATTTATTTATTTTTTTATAAGTATTGCCTCTGCCAGGATGTTCTTCTATGCAGTAGATGTGTTTGAAGTACACAAACATTAAATTTACTTTTTTAATTCGATAAGTCGGTAAACGAGCAGACGGATCACCTGATGGTAAGCAATCGGCGTCGCCCATGGACACACGCAACACCAGAGGCGTTACTAGTGCGTTACCGGCCTTTTGGGAATTAGGAATTTGAATATTGTTTGGGATTGGGGAGATTGGGGAAGGGGGGCGTAATTGGGCCTCCGGTAACCTCACTCAGACGGCGAAACACAACGCAAGCGTTGCTTCACATCGGATTTCTGTAATGCCGTGGTATCACTCCGGTCGAGCCGGCCCATTCGTGCCGAAGCATAGCTCTTCCAAACTTAAGTAAGTGAAATATACTCCCAAATCCGATACAATGTCGCGGAGAACCTAACGGGTAACCGGGGCTTCGGCTCGACGTGCAGGAGAAGGGACGGGGCGGTTTTTAGTCAGTAAGAGTCTGACACTCACTTCCGCCTCACCCAGGCGGGAGCAGTCATTCGATGATTTTAGCCCCTTAAAAATAAAAAAATCGATACAATAATTTGTAAATTCCATCAAAGTTGCGAGAAGCGATCCTATTAAACGGTATGTGATAGTCAGCCCAGCCTTTGCACCAAAATGCAGTTCAAAATGCATACCTAGTATAAATTAACAACAAGTAGCACGGAGTCTGGAATTGTGCCCGGTATATGGCAATAGGCTCACCCCCTATTACATGGGACTCATAACATAAATAGTGAAAAGTAGGTGTTAGTTCTGTGTGGACCTCTGCCTACCCCTTCGGGGATAAAAGGCGTGATGTGATGTTATGTATGTTATGGATCACTCGGCAACGCAAGACTGACCTTTGGATTTGCCATAACCTCAACGCATGACTAGCGGTTTGGAAATCGCTATTCAGACAATTTTTACCTGTAGAATAAAATCATCAGTTTTCTAGTATAGAAGAATTGTCAAATGTTTAAAGTAGGGTATACCTCTGTGGATAAATTGGTCCTTAAGGCGAGGGAATGATTTATTCATGACAACCAATATTTTTTAAAAGCAAATGCATCTAATATCAGTTAGCAAGCTATTTCAACTATGATCACAATTAGTAAAAAAAACTAATTTAAACTTAGGGTCGTCCGCCGCTGAGTACGGTCGAGGGGAAAATGCGAAAACTCGCCCTCACCCGGCGGCCATTTTGTGACGTCATCACTAACCACATGGGACGCATTTGGACGTAATATTTTTTACGAAAAAAAAGTAATTAGTGTGACTGATGATTCTTCGGTTCAAAAATATAAAGTAACGGTAAATAAAAAACTCATCATTCTCAAAATAATAAAAAGATAATGAACAAAGTTTATACCTACAAAGAAACGAAGGAGTTTTTATAATAATTTAAAGCACTTATTAATGTTATTACTGTCCCATTTTTCAAATTTTCAACGTTCATAATAATTTGTACAATACCGATACCGGTACTAAACATAATTTTTCACGAAACTTAAAAACTAATGCACTTAAGAAATGCCAGTTATCCTTTCTCCTGAACGCCGACATTGCAACTGACATTGCAAACAAAACCTATACAATTTAAAACAAAACTATACAAAAAAAGGTGCAAAAGAAAAACTCGAGCGCAATTGTTAAGAAAAATAAAAATGAACGTTCAGTACGTCCCCGTGTGCGCTTTGATGAAGCCGGAGCGTTTCGATTGGTTGGCGAGAAGTGCAAGGCGTGGTAAGTTTTAGTCCCACCCACCTCCGTTAAGGGTCTTAGATTGTGAGGCTCCAAACGTCATCGGGCGCTTGCCGGCTGCGCCACGCGTACTCACACAACTTAGCAAAAATTTGAACACGTGCTTTCTGTAAGAAAAAAATTAAAATAACCGGTGAATACCCCGTGCAGTGACAATGTGGTATATTTATATGTGACTCAAGAAGAATATCAGACCCAAACTGTGTTATGGGTTAAAAATATGATTGTATAAACCAAGAATGTTATGAAAAGTGTGGAAACGAATGTTTTGTGTTTAGTGTTGTGGCATCGATCGGCTGAAAAGTGACCTCTGGCGGTTGAAATTGGCCGTAGTACAAAACAGTAACAATACAGCTATTTTGTGGAGTGAAATGTTCAGTTGATCGACGTAATATTTTTTAGTTTGAGCCAAAATATCTTCCAATAAGATTTTATTCAGTTAAAGCTCAATCGAATTCTTCCAAAAATTCTTAATCAGCTTCTAGATTCGGGATAATTTTTAGGATTCTTTCCCATTTTCTTAAAAATCTTAACAGCCATTTTAGGCTTTATTCGTGCAATATTAAAACAAAGATAGCCTAGTGTACAGCGAGTGTAAATAAAAAGCTCAGCCTAGATCGACTTTAAGATCTAAATTGAAGTGTAAATAATAGGCTCATTAGTAATGATAAATTAGATCCATTTAACATAGTAAGAGATGATATAGAAACTGTAGATAAATTAAAATTCGTAAATAAAGAAGATCGAAGGGATATTGAAGATCTCAAGTATTGTATAATAGTTACAGACAAAGGAACAATTATAATTCACGTTCGACCTTTACAAGCGGATGAATTAATTGCTATCAAACTGTTAATTTTGCAAGGAACATCTAATTCGAGGCCTTTGTTTACGAGTTTCCAATACAATCAAGATTTTAAGTGCTGGCCAATTAAATTTGGAGTAAATATACCGAAGAAGAAAATAATAAAATTCAAATTGCTAAATTGCCGCATTTAGCAGCATTATTAGAAACTGCACACGTTTATCATTGGAGTTTGCAACGTTTTATTTTGTGATTTGAAGATTCTTTTGCTAATTGATCCTTATCTTTGGTGCGTTCATTAATTGTGGAATCCAGAGCAAAATCAGTAGTGTCGTCACGGACAGAATCACATACAAATGCTGTTACGCTAACTTTGCCTTCGCCACTATTGACAATACTATCTCCCACGTCAGTCTTGTGAACTGCGGCTCGCAGTTCATCAAAATCTTCGTTCACATCGTTGATAGAGTGCGTTGAACCAGAAATACCAGATGCATCATTGACCATATGTCGTTACCCTACCGATCACATTAACTTGGGGGTGCACATATCTGGCGTGGAGTTGCAAGCCGTCAAGATAGCCACTGAGTCGAAACTGCAGCTGTGCGGGGGCTGGAGTGGGCAGGCTAGCTACGCGCTGGATGGATGCGTGGACGCTGGCCTGCTCAGACCACCGCCGCAGCCGCACTCCAGTCAACTTGGTACTGTTTATGCCACAAAAAGAAGAAGAAGGAATGGAAAAAGGTTAGTGTTTAGACATTAGTTCTATCCTTTATGTACATTTTAGCAATCGCCGTTTTTCTTCGGAATTTTAGCGACAGTTGCCCTTTTTGAGCTTTTTTTGACAGTTCCTCAAAAGATCAATTGGTTCATATTTCTTTATGTAACGGATAACCATAGTAGGGAATTACAAAAAATATAAGGATGTATTTAACAAACAAACAGCGGTATTAAAAATGTTAATAAATTAACAATAGATTGATTTACTACATTATCTTTTTAGAGAACTACAGATGTGGTATCCAATGTACCCTTGATACTAGGTTGTGCGTCCTAGATAAAAGGCAGGTTTTAATCCTTTATACAGATATGTTATCCGATTCACTCCAGAAAGTACTTTTGAACGACACTCATCAACTTTAAAGATATTTTTCCCAAAATAGAAGTGTCAATCAATCAATAAAAGACTATAATTAGTCAAAACTTAACACTTTTTTATGAATAAAGTGCCGGATATACGATATGTAACAAAAAAGTTCAACAATCGTAACAAATCGATTTAAAACAATTAATAATTTTGGAAACATCAAAATTCTCAACGCGATTCGCCTCTGCCCTCAGTATTTTTTTACAATACTGTACTTTGTTCCTTATGAAATAGGGATAGAAATTGCATGCTACAAAGATTGTTTAAAATTTGACAGCTACGCTCATCTGAACACAGAAATTGAATTACTAGATGTGCCTACAATGTAACTTTGTCAACGTTTTCAACATAATTATGAAAATTCTATCCGTTAATGTCTTTTTCATGTTTGTCGCTAGTAATTATTTTTAATAAGTACCTACGAACCGTCCAGTAATTAAATATCATTAATTATTAACATCAAAGTGGCTTGCATGCATTATTACGAACTATTGTTTTTTTTCATGGATTCAAAATAAATTGTAGTTAATAATTTAAATTTCAATCAGTGTGCATTTTCATTATATTTTTTTTTTACTTAAATACCTATATTCTCATTTTTTTAAAACCAATTTAATGTTTTATTGTTCACATTAAGTTGTATTTTTGGCAATTTAGTGCATACAGTTTTATTATAAATTTTAATAAATATGATATGAAAAGAAATCGAGAAGCAAGGTTAAACGTAGTTCATTAATATTCAATTTACGCATTCATCTTGTAGCTAGACATAAATACTCTCTTTTGTTCTATCTTAGTTAATAATTATTTTATTATATCTTGTGGGTACCAATAACTAGGCATTATGCCGCAAATTGTTGGTTTAAGTAAGAATCTAGAATTACATTGTAACGACTTAAACTAAAGAAACAAAATATAATTTAATACAAAGTACAACGCAATACTTTTTACCCCTAATATATTTTTTTAACATAATGAAACTTTTACTCATAAATGGTTTTGAACACATGATGCAACCAACACTAACTACCATTGAACTTATTGCAACAACCGTTATTAATTAAAAACCGCTATTTAAGCTCAATAACCTATTAAAAAAACGTTGCACATATTTTTTTCAAAACTCCAATAAAATTTAATGCTTCAATCACATCTAGTTTTCTATATCCATAAAAACCAATAGCGTTACGAATGGTCCGTTCAAAAATCAGTGCTGGCCTATTAGGTTAATTCGATTATTAATTTATGAGGTGAATAATAACCGTGTATCGATACAGTTGAATCGATTCTACTCGGTATGACCGTGGCGATTGAATCTTATAACGGATTTCGAATGTATTGTGTTAAATTTCGAATCTGTGATTTTTCTTTGCTATTTTTTAAATATAATTTGCAAGTGAGGATTATTACCCTTTAGTCCAGTATTTACAAATCAAGCTTTTGAAATGATATTACACTGCAATATAATAATAAACCTTTTCAGCTTTATTTATATATTTTTGATTAACCTGTTACTTCTTGATTTATAAAAATATTAATCGTTGTGTAGTTCTATCACTGAAGCCGCTTCATTTCCCGTCGCTGCCGTATTATGCTATATAGATGCAAACACAGCTTAGAATTGGGAATCTGTTATAATTAATGAGGAGTTTTATATTTTGTTATTGCAATTCGGCTCATTGAGACTCATTGAAAATAAATTATATTTTGCAATAACAACTGCGTATGAGAGTGCGTCAATAGTCATTATTATATTGATCTGGACCGACGGATAATATTATTCAGTATCATCCCATGACAGTCCACTGGTAGCCTATAGATTCAATAATGATGAGAAATGTATTATTCTGCTCTGTTCGCCAGCACTCATTTCAATTGCAATACTATAATAATTTAAGCGCTAAAATTTTATTACTGGTCAGAGAATTCGTTCTTAGACCTTTTCTTATATTTATATTCTATGCTATGTTCGATATTTAAATTTAACCAGTTTTTAACAATAGCTACACACAAAATGGGGCTTAAAATAATGAACGAAGAAAGCGATGTTTCACACAAACTTGGGTGGAAATTATGGGGTTGAATATTGACGTCATCAACCTCCCCCCTACCCTAATACTTTTAGGGGGGTTTTAAATACACGGCACACCTACCGCCTAAGGTTACTATGTGATAATGACCTTATGTTTTGGTTATAATTTTAACAAATTGCTGTAGAAAGACTTAGCTAGTACTTCTTTTGGTGTGATCAAAGGTTTGAAAAATGATAATTGAGCTGGATGTTTGGCAATAAACACTGGTTAAAATAGGATGAGATATAGATAGTATAGGGGAAAGTCCCGTAACGCCGGACGGCACCTAACGCCGCACACTTGTATTATCTCGATAACTGATAACACCAGCGATTAATTTTTACTAAAAATCGTAGGTGTCAGCCACTGGAAGACTTTCCTCTAAAAATTGAATCGCTCGCGTACGATTTGCCTCTAAAAGGAACGTATCCACGGGTTTTCTTAAAAATTGTATTTATGAACTTCTTGCTTTGAAAAGAGAGCGTATCTTCTTCTCTATAAAAGGTCAGCAATGCACCCGTAACTCTTCTGGTGTTGCTCGTAACCATTGACGGCGCTGACCTCGTACCAGTAGTAGTAGTTGATCAGCCTACTTTTGCTTCTTACTTCTTAAACAATACCACGTCTTGAGTAGGCCTCGCTTCTATGGTATATCTCGATAAAAAAACTAGCTTACATTACCCCTAAATAATAAATTTCCCAACAGTCCAGGTTTGCTGGTTTAATAGTTCCTCTTTACAAAATCAGTTGGCTTAGTTTGTTAATACTAGGGACGAAGTTTCTGAGTAAGATACTCAACTCACTTTTAATTCATCAACAGCTTATATGCCCACTGCCGAGCAAAACACTTCTCACACGGAGAAGGTTTAGAAGAGCATTAATCAAGACGCTTGCTCAATGCGGGTTGGTGATTACAAACTTATAATTAGAAATTATAAGCCCAGATTACCCTCACGATGTTTTCCTTCATCGTTCCTCAGTGGTGTCTAGATTAATCTTAGAAAGTACATATAACTCGAAAAAAGTTACATTGGTACTTGCTGCTGATAGGTTTCGATCCCGCACTCTCATGCATGAGAGGTGGGCGTCTTAAACCTCCGAGCCGACTATTTTGATTAGCGTAAACAAATTATATTGTCATCATTCACAACTAAAGAAATCGTGTTCGAACGAAAACATCTTCAACATTTTCTTGTTTAAACGAGCAGAATACGTTACACCTTCTAAACACTATTGTAACACCATTCGTGACGTACATACATGTGACGTAATGATTACGCAATTATCTTCACTCCAAACTATATATTTATTAGACAACTATTGTGTTTAAAAACCATGGATCCATGGCGTATAATTTAAAAAAAGTACTATCGACACTTGTCTTCGGTGACTACGTATGAATATGTGCGTACAAATATGCTTTATGTTATAATTTATATATTGTGTTGATATTTTATTGAATTAGTAAAATTAATAATTAATATGATTATTAGCCAGTTATTCAAAAGATATGGCTATCTAATAGGGTAACAGTATATGAAAATATTTTAAAAGTCAATGATTGCATACACGGTGGTCTAAACGAAATGAAATGAAATGAAATAAACATTCAAGAAAATAAAGGAATAACTAGCCTTCCTATGATCTTATATTTGGATGTCCATTCGAGTAGATTATATTATCTATTCTATTCAAATATCTACTCAATTTTAGTAAATTATTTTTTTAAGATCAGTAATTGTTTTGCAGCTTCTGGTTAAGCTGTTAACAGTTACATTTATGCGTATATTTAAAATAGGTTTTGTACTTGAAGTATTATTATCATAACATAGCATAACATCCCGCCTTTTATCCAGGATAGGCTAGGCAGATGTGCACATTACGGCACTTAATGTCACGGTACAATATAACACCCACTTTTCACTATTTATGTTATGAGTCCCATGTAATAGGGGTTGAGCCTATTGCCATATACCGGGCACAGTTCCAGACTCCGTGCTACCACTGATAAAAACCCAGTAATACTTTGTCCGACTCGGGAATCGAACCCGAGACCCCTTGCCCAGCAGACGCACTTGCGACCACTCGGTCAATGAGGCAGTCATTAGTCAGTGAGTATATTATTATATCGTTTCTAATTAAAAAGAAAAATATTCCCGTACACGAAGCACCACGTCGATTGTACCTTCATAACATTTTCATATGAAATTGAGTACTACAACATTGTAAACCGATTTTGACATTAAAGTAGACTTTTAATTATAAAGCACTTAATTATTACTTTCGTTAAAGAGAACATGATGTCCCGTATTTAATAGTAAGTGAAGAAAAGAGTGACTGACTATACGTGGTAATTATGTTTTAATGAAATTATAAAAATAGGTCTTTGCTTGTACCTAAGTATTAAGCCCCTTGTTTTAACTACACAAAGAAGTATAAGCAAGTAACATTGTAAGTTATTGATTCAAATTTATAGAAATTTATTGCCGACTTCAAAACAAGGAGGAGGCCGACTTTTAACCTATCAGTGGGTGGGTAACCTATCAATACTAATAAAAGTTATCTTTTGCTTTTTAGTTATTAGTTTTTGGTTTTTTAAAGTCAGTTTTTAAACGCAGTAGACATAAGAAATAGAAGAGAATTATATACGGATCTCTCCAACCAATAATGTGAAACAACGCTTGCGTTGTGTTTCGTCGTGTGAGTAAGGTTACCAAAGGCCGGGTAATTGGGTCCTTGGCAACCCCTTCCCCTATCTTCCCAATCCCTGAATCCTCAACAATCCTTAAATTCTTAATTCCTGAAAAGGCCTGTAACG